TTTGATTTGCATTTCTCTAATGGCTAGTGATCATGAACATTTCTTCATATGTTTGTTGGCTGCCTGAATCTCCTCCTTAGTTCATTCATGTCCTGTGCCCATTTTTTAATTGGATTATTTGTCTTTTTTTTCTTGTAGACGTGTTGTAGGTTTCTATATCTTTTAGAAACAGTCCTTTGTCTGATGTGTCATTGCAAAAGATTTTTTTCCCATTCTTTGAGCTCCCTTTTTACTCTTGGTGAATTCTTTTGATGCACATAAATTTTTAATTTTTAGTATGTCCCAATCATCTATTTTGTCCACTTTTGTTTGTGTAATTTTCAAAATGTTAGTAAGTCTGTGTATTTCCTGTATTAGGGCCCTCACATTTGTCCCTATTTTTTCATTGATGGTCTTTATAATTCTGGGATTCACATTTAGGTCTTTTATCCATGCTGAGTTGTTTTTTGTATAAGGGGTGAGGTAAAGGTCTTTTCCTTTTCGCTTTCTAGTTCAACACCATCTGTTGAAGACACTGTCTCCTCCCAATGCGATATATTTAGGCTCTTCGTTGAAAATCAGTTGGCTGTATGTGGATGGGTCAATTTCTGTATTCTCGATTCTGTTCCATTGATCTATGTACCTTTCATTGTACCAGTACCAGGCTGTGTTGACCACTGTAGGTGTGTAGTAAATTTTGAAGTCAGGGAGTTAGAGGCTTCCAACCTTACTCTTCTTCTTAAGCAGTGCTTTGCTTATTTTGGGTCTCTTTCCTTTCCATATAAAGTTTGTAATTGTTTTTTCCATTTCTTTGAAGAATGTCATTGGAGTCTGGATTGGGATTGCATTATATGTGTAAATTCCTTTGGGCAGTATTGACATTTTCATAATATTGAGTCTTCTTATCCAGGAGCATGGTATATTCTTCCATTTTTGTAAGCCTCTTTTGGTTTCTTGTTATAGTATTTTGTAGTTTTGTTTGTATAGGTCCTTTGTTTCTCTGGTTACATTTATTCCTAGATATTTCATCCTTTGGGTGGCTATTGTAAATGGGATCACTTTCCTTTTTGCAGTCCTTTTCAACACTGTCATTGTTACTATAGAGGAATCCAACTGATTTTTGTATTTGATCTTATATACCATGCTAGTTTGCTGAATCTTGCAATGAGTTCTAGTAGCTTCTTAAGCTGAGTCTTAGGGGTTTTCTGTGGATAGAATAATTTTATCTACTAATAGACTTTTACTCCTTCTTTGCCAGTTTGGATGCCTTTAATTTCCTTGTCTTGCCATATAACTTTGGCTAAGATGTCCAGTGGAGAGGACTTGAAACATTTACTGATGAAGATCAAAGAACACAGCCTTTAGAATGGGTTGCATCTCAATGTCAAAAAAACAAAAATCCTCACCACTGGACCAATAAACAACATTTTTATCAACGGAGAAAAGATTGAAGTTGTCAAGGACTTCATTCTTCTTGGATCAACTATCA